GAGAATAAGAATATTTAATGTGGCACAAGAAAACAGGGTATCACTGACTAGAGGTCAGTCAGACTAACGTTTCTGAGCTCTCCTTCTTTCATCCTCCCTCTGACTCGTTTCTACTTTAATAATAATTAATGATAATGTCTTCTATAATAACTTACAGTACTGTTAATTCTAACACAAATTCTAGTACAAATATTGATGGAATACTTTCAATGTTAATAGATCATTTTCACACTTCCTTGTTCATTAATGCAGAAGAGTAAATAGTAGCATTAAACAGTTTGCGGTCGCACTGTAGACAATGGCTGATACTGCCCAAAATCATTGCTGCGTTCCTAATGCACCAATAATTCAAGTCAACAGCCTCACCTAAGTTTCCACTCGATTAAGTCTAAAAATGTTCAACTTCAGCTGAAAAGCTTCGCTCGTCATGTGTCACATTTAACGAGGTAGCTGATCAAAAAAAGAGAGTAAAACTGAGCTGAAGAATGAATATGGGCTGTACAGCAGGACAGATTTACTCACATTTGTCATTAAAAATGCTTAAAATCCTGGAATATTGTCATCACAGAGGTTTGATGAAGAGGTTAACTGCAGCTCGGTGATCAGTAACTGTAATGTAGAAATATGCTGTGTCTCTGTGCTGGTTATGGTGTTCAGGGCACTTTCTAATGTTGCTCATGTTTACATGGACTGAGTAAGAAAAACTAAACCTGGTTGACCTTTTCTCCTCCAAAATAAAGCTAGTCCAAACATTTTTAAGTTTTGCGTGACATGCTTTAGCCTTGTCAGACTAGCCTTTCTGCTCATGTTAGAGGAACTACCAGACATGCAAACCGCTCTTCTATTAACCCAGCTGAGGCCGAAGAAAGATTTTTTGAGGGATGCTGAAAACCGGAGACCCTCCATTGCCACTCTATTAAACGGTGCAGGCGAAAGTTCGATAATGCTACTATTTACAGCCGGATGTGACAAAAGGTCCATTAAGTAATATTTTACTAAGAGCATTTCTACTTTTATAGTAGAGAAGTTGTGTGTTTTGTCCACCCAGCTGTTCCTGGCCTACCAGGAGAGGTTAGGATAAAATCCTGTCTGCGTAAACCAGTATTTCCCAGGTTTGGAAGCAATGTCTACTGGATTTGAGAGGCTTATGTGCTTATGCAAATGCAGTTAATCCACATCAGTATGCTTGTATCTGCTTCAATTGTTTAAATTAGTATTTTAAACCTTTACTAAATGTGTTGTCTTCCTACAGCCATCCATCTGCTGCTTCTGGTTCTTGCCTGATAAGGACTTACAGCTTGTCCCAGGTACTTTTATTCATAGTAACATTTGTAGTGTACTCTTTGGATTGTTAGTACATATTTCTTTGCATATATAACTACATCTTTAGTGCAAGATATTGCTAATATTATGTATTTGAATCAACGGCTAATCTGCTTTGCTTTTTTTCACTGGCTGCTGTTCTTTTAGGATGCAGCCGTGAAGAATCCACAATCACAAGCTGCAGGTGACAATAAAATTGACCAGAGACCTCCGCATCTGTTAAGTGCCGAGTATATTTAACATTGAAGGGTAGGGATCAGATGTTCATTCTCTGTCTACACTTTTTATACACCTAAATCAGTTTAACTAGTTAAGTCTGTTTGCATATGTCATCACGTCTCTGCGTTGCTGTGGCACAAACTGCAATCGGAGGTCAGGAAGTGATTTTCTACATACACCATTTAAGGTGGAACGGGTAAACTGGCGAAAAAGAGGCTGCTTTGGGCGTTTGCTAGGAGTAGAGGGTTGTATGCTTTGCAGTTCGTCTGTGGGTGTGCACTGGTGATAAATTTAAAACGGTTTAATTAACAGTTAAACAAACGACAGACCAGCATAAATAGCAACCCGCCATGCAATTGCAATGAGCTGCAGTAACTTCTTTGTCTTGCTCCGCGATGATCCACGTCTTCACTGGCGTCAAGTCGAGTCAAGTTAGGCTTTATTGTCATTTCAGCTATATACAAGTACACAGTGAAACAAAACAACATTCCTCCAGGACCAACACAGGAACACAAGTGCGTGACAATGCAATAAACACAGTGCTGGAGTTGTGGACCCAACCACTAACAAAAAGGTTGTATGCCTCAAGAGTTTTGTATGCTTTCATTTGCTTTCTTAAGTAGAAGGATGTTTGAAGGAGGTAGTTGCTTATCTACTGCCTTGATAGCAGGCAAGGTTTTCAGTTCAGTTTAAAAATGGCTCCATTTCATAACAAAAGGATCATGTTTAACATATTTTCTCTTGTAATATTGTATAAACTATCACAGTATGGGCTGACCTGCATCTTATCCATTCTGCTTTTCATCTCCTGCCCTCCTGGATTTTACACGTCATTAGAATCACATGTCTGCAGACAAAATATTAGAGATTGTGGTCCATCTGTTTCTCAACATAATTTGTTTACTCCTTCATCAGTGATCAGGACCACAGAATGGGTATCATTTGGGAAGTGGTTTCCTTCTCAGCACTGCAGTTATGTTGACATGGTAGTGGTGTGTTATTGAGGGTTGTGTTGGTACAACTGGATCAAACACAGCAGTGCTGGCAGAGTTTTAAAACACTGTGTCCACTCCACTGTGTCCAATTACATACCTACCTTGTTAGTCCTTTTAGAGGTAAAGTTAGAGATGTAAGGTCATCTGTTGCTGCCCAGTTTATTAGTTATCCTCTAGTCCAGGAACATCCAGCACAATTTGGTAATTCACCTGCTCAAACACACATGATTCAACTCACCTGGTGGTAATTGCCAGGTTTTGTGGGTGTGTTTGAGTACAACCAAACTGTGCTGGTCACTGGCCCTCCAGGACCGGAGTTGTGCATCCCTGCTTCAGTCCTTCATCAGTGCCTACGGGAGGCTGTTGGCTGGAAATTTATTCTCAGTCCAGCAAATGCACATGTTTAAACACTCAAGCAACACTACGGTGTGACTCTGTGCAACACCACACATATTACCATGTTGGCGTCACTGCAGTGCTGAGAGTGATCCACTACCCAATAATACCTGCTCCGTGGGGGTCCTGAACATTGAAGAACAGAGTAAAAGGGGGCTAACAAAGTATGCTGAGAAACAGAAGCACTACAATTGTACACAAAGTGTTTCTAAATGGTAAGTGGAGCTGATAAAATGGACAATGAGTTTAAATACAGGGTAGCTGTACACGAAGTGGCTAATGAGTCAATATATATATAAAAAATCAAGCACAATGGTGTACTGCACACTCAACTAGTAGTTTCTGTTTTTCTTTAACACCTGTTTATTTGTATATGGTAACTGTTACCTATGAACTTGCTATTCCACCAATTTTGTCTAAGTTCTGTATATTTTTGTAAGACCATTAAAGCTGTTGTTTCCAAATGATTTCTAGTGTTGTCCTTGAAATTCATGTATGCATACAGGTGAGTTTTAAGAATCGGTAACTTTTACAGAGTAATACAGTACATACTGGCTTAATACATGGTAATGCACATAATGTTCTTAAAACTGCAGCAGACTATTGATTGTTCAGTTATGTCCACATTTGTTGATTCGGTTTTGAAAAATGACAACATTGACTCAGCCATAAATAAACTTTGAAATGCCGGCTGAGGTGCCTGACGTACAGCCCAATTAAGGAGAACTAGTGGTAATTTCGTATGGCATACAACATGGCTGATGTAGGGGAAGTGTATGATATAGTCCTGATCTGGCACGCATCTGGCCCGTTATAGGTGAAGCTGAGGTTAAGTTCTTTGGCCCTGATGTGGCCCATATATAGTGGACCTGTGGCTGAGTTGGGGCAGCCAGACTTACCCTGAATAAAGGCCGTAAATCAAGACCAAATGTGGGCCACATTCGGGCCAAAAATTCCTTGCTTTCTGGGTATGTTCAGAATGTTTAGATACTTGATGGTGAAAAGTAGATAAAAACACTTAAAACAGCTGACAATGATTTTTTGTTTTCCGTTCTTAAGTCCTTACACTGGCTGCCAATTTGTTACAGGATAGAGTTCAAGGTGGTATTACTGGTGTATAGGGTCTCCTTTCCACGGTCCAAATTTTTTTCCACTGAGCCGAACGGTTCTCAGGGCCGTACTGGGCCGTTCCGCGCTAGTCCGGACTGCTGAGACCGGTTACGGTTTCTTTTTCCGTCTGTTGTGCTGCTACATCAGAACCGGGAAATACTGCAGAAAACAACACAAACGAGTGTCTAACAGCTAAGAGGCTAATAGCTACATACACACCACCCACCACGAAAGGTTTGCTCTGGTCCGTCACTCCAACTCCAGACTCTTGACGTGCTCTCAGATTCTTTATCCTCTAAACGGGTGTGATTTGAGCATCTGTTACTGGAGCAGCCTGTACTGGGGGTGGGTTTCACCTGTAGGCGGTTATTTACACTAGCATTAGTGTATTAGTGTCGCCGGGCAGGTTACAGCTCAAAGCACCATGGAACAACTGTATTTTTGCTATTTCTGTCGCTCCAACACCAGTCATTTGAATCTGTAATCTCAGATACGTGTCTTTATCCTATAAATGGATGTTTTTAATCATCGATTTGCTAGAACTGAGCCTGTACTGCAGTGGGAGGCACCGTGCGCTGGCTTTAGCTTAGGCTTGCAGGCTACAGCTTGAAGCACTACAGAACAGGTTCGGTTTGGGCTTTCTGTCACTCCAACACCGATGGGTCGGCTTTGCTCTTGCTGCTTTAAGTTTTTATCATCTATACTTGTAATAGCAGAGCACCAGTTAGTCAAATCGAACCTGCACTGGGGTGTCTGGATCTTTTTAGCTAAGCTATGTTAGCTAGGAGAGAGGAGCTGGCTAGCATTAGCGTAGCCAGGAGACTCCATTTCCAGACGCCAGAGAATTTCAACTTTCCGTCCCTCTAACATCAGCCACGCGACTTTGCTTCCTTGCTCACCATCGGGGTGAATCGCTGTGTGTGGATGGAAGATTCCTGACTTTAGAGGTTGCAGGTTAAGACTATACTTTCAGGGATCATTTCTATAGTTTCTGACTTGGAAGTTTGATTTGAAAGTGTTATGTCTCTCTAACCACGATGACGAGTTAAGATGCTTTCTTCTGAGCGTGAATCAGGTGGCGAGTAACGAGTGAGATCGTCTGCTCTCCGTCGTTGATGAACGTTCCTGCTGTGTTTCACAGTCTGGAAGAAGAAAGCATGTTCAGAGTGGTTTGTTACTGAAGGATACAAAAAAAAACAGATTAAAAAACATTTAAAACAGCTGACAATGATTTTTTGTTGATATATTTGTGAATTTGTTCAGTGTTTCAACAACTGTTTTAAAAGAGTTTAGATTGATGTCCAATTGAAAGCAAGCCTCACAAGAAAGTTCTAGTAATCTGTGGCGTCCTGCCGAGTTTCATTCTTGGGCCGCTCTCGTTTGATCGATACAAGCTTCCTTTTGACGAAGGACTACAAGACTACGAGACGTCTTATCAAAACTAAATCGATGACACTCAGATCTGCTTGATCCTCTTCTAAAAGAACGGTGATGCCCTTGACTCACTTTCTCATTTCCTTGAGTACATCACACTAACCGGATGGGGCCAAACTTTCTTCAGTTGAGTAAAGATAAATCAGAGATTATTGTATTTGGGAATAGAAAGATAGGCACAGACTAGCTGCCTATCTGGATTCGAGAGCCCTAAAATCTAAAGAACTGGTACATAACCTTGGTGTACTAATGGACTCTGATCTTAGATTTAGCAGGCATGTGGAAGCAGTTAGTAAATCAGCTTGATATCACCTTAAGAACATCAAGATCAGAGATTTGGTGGCTAAATCATCTCACACTTTTATTTCTAGCAGGACGGATTAGTGTACCCGTCTCCTAGCTTGACCGAAAAAGACAATCCAACAGCTTCAGATGGTTCAAAATGCAGCTGGCAGAGTTCTCACTAGGAGTGAAAGAGGGCTACCCCCGTTCTTAAGTCCTTACACTGGCTGCCAATTTGTTACAGGATAGAGTTCAAGGTGGTATTACTGGTGTATAGGGTCTCCTTTCCACGGTCCAAATTTTTTTCCACTGAGCCGAACGGTTCTCAGGGCCGTACTGGGCCGTTCCGCGCTAGTCCGGACTGCTGAGACCGGTTACGGTTTCTTTTTCCGTCTGTTGTGCTGCTACATCAGAACCGGGAAATACTGCAGAAAACAACACAAACGAGTGTCTAACAGCTAAGAGGCTAATAGCTACATACACACCACCCACCACGAAAGGTTTGCTCTGGTCCGTCACTCCAACTCCAGACTCTTGACGTGCTCTCAGATTCTTTATCCTCTAAACGGGTGTGATTTGAGCATCTGTTACTGGAGCAGCCTGTACTGGGGGTGGGTTTCACCTGTAGGCGGTTATTTACACTAGCATTAGTGTATTAGTGTCGCCGGGCAGGTTACAGCTCAAAGCACCATGGAACAACTGTATTTTTGCTATTTCTGTCGCTCCAACACCAGTCATTTGAATCTGTAATCTCAGATACGTGTCTTTATCCTATAAATGGATGTTTTTAATCATCGATTTGCTAGAACTGAGCCTGTACTGCAGTGGGAGGCACCGTGCGCTGGCTTTAGCTTAGGCTTGCAGGCTACAGCTTGAAGCACTACAGAACAGGTTCGGTTTGGGCTTTCTGTCACTCCAACACCGATGGGTCGGCTTTGCTCTTGCTGCTTTAAGTTTTTATCATCTATACTTGTAATAGCAGAGCACCAGTTAGTCAAATCGAACCTGCACTGGGGTGTCTGGATCTTTTTAGCTAAGCTATGTTAGCTAGGAGAGAGGAGCTGGCTAGCATTAGCGTAGCCAGGAGACTCCATTTCCAGACGCCAGAGAATTTCAACTTTCCGTCCCTCTAACATCAGCCACGCGACTTTGCTTCCTTGCTCACCATCGGGGTGAATCGCTGTGTGTGGATGGAAGATTCCTGACTTTAGAGGTTGCAGGTTAAGACTATACTTTCAGGGATCATTTCTATAGTTTCTGACTTGGAAGTTTGATTTGAAAGTGTTATGTCTCTCTAACCACGATGACGAGTTAAGATGCTTTCTTCTGAGCGTGAATCAGGTGGCGAGTAACGAGTGAGATCGTCTGCTCTCCGTCGTTGATGAACGTTCCTGCTGTGTTTCACAGTCTGGAAGAAGAAAGCATGTTCAGAGTGGTTTGTTACTGAAGGATGCAAAAAAAAACAGATTAAAAAACATTTAAAACAGCTGACAATGATTTTTTGTTGATATATTTGTGAATTTGTTCAGTGTTTCAACAACTGTTTTAAAAGAGTTTAGATTGATGTCCAATTGAAAGCAAGCCTCACAAGAAAGTTCTAGTAATCTGTGGCGTCCTGCCGAGTTTCATTCTTGGGCCGCTCTCGTTTGATCGATACAAGCTTCCTTTTGACGAAGGACTACAAGACTACGAGACGTCTTATCAAAACTAAATCGATGACACTCAGATCTGCTTGATCCTCTTCTAAAAGAACGGTGATGCCCTTGACTCACTTTCTCATTTCCTTGAGTACATCACACTAACCGGATGGGGCCAAACTTTCTTCAGTTGAGTAAAGATAAATCAGAGATTATTGTATTTGGGAATAGAAAGATAGGCACAGACTAGCTGCCTATCTGGATTCGAGAGCCCTAAAATCTAAAGAACTGGTACATAACCTTGGTGTACTAATGGACTCTGATCTTAGATTTAGCAGGCATGTGGAAGCAGTTAGTAAATCAGCTTGATATCACCTTAAGAACATCAAGATCAGAGATTTGGTGGCTAAATCATCTCACACTTTTATTTCTAGCAGGACGGATTAGTGTACCCGTCTCCTAGCTTGACCGAAAAAGACAATCCAACAGCTTCAGATGGTTCAAAATGCAGCTGGCAGAGTTCTCACTAGGAGTGAAAGAGGGCTACCCCCGTTCTTAAGTCCTTACACTGGCTGCCAATTTGTTACAGGATAGAGTTCAAGGTGGTATTACTGGTGTATAGGGTCTCCTTTCCACGGTCCAAATTTTTTTCCACTGAGCCGAACGGTTCTCAGGGCCGTACTGGGCCGTTCCGCGCTAGTCCGGACTGCTGAGACCGGTTACGGTTTCTTTTTCCGTCTGTTGTGCTGCTACATCAGAACCGGGAAATACTGCAGAAAACAACACAAACGAGTGTCTAACAGCTAAGAGGCTAATAGCTACATACACACCACCCACCACGAAAGGTTTGCTCTGGTCCGTCACTCCAACTCCAGACTCTTGACGTGCTCTCAGATTCTTTATCCTCTAAACGGGTGTGATTTGAGCATCTGTTACTGGAGCAGCCTGTACTGGGGGTGGGTTTCACCTGTAGGCGGTTATTTACACTAGCATTAGTGTATTAGTGTCGCCGGGCAGGTTACAGCTCAAAGCACCATGGAACAACTGTATTTTTGCTATTTCTGTCGCTCCAACACCAGTCATTTGAATCTGTAATCTCAGATACGTGTCTTTATCCTATAAATGGATGTTTTTAATCATCGATTTGCTAGAACTGAGCCTGTACTGCAGTGGGAGGCACCGTGCGCTGGCTTTAGCTTAGGCTTGCAGGCTACAGCTTGAAGCACTACAGAACAGGTTCGGTTTGGGCTTTCTGTCACTCCAACACCGATGGGTCGGCTTTGCTCTTGCTGCTTTAAGTTTTTATCATCTATACTTGTAATAGCAGAGCACCAGTTAGTCAAATCGAACCTGCACTGGGGTGTCTGGATCTTTTTAGCTAAGCTATGTTAGCTAGGAGAGAGGAGCTGGCTAGCATTAGCGTAGCCAGGAGACTCCATTTCCAGACGCCAGAGAATTTCAACTTTCCGTCCCTCTAACATCAGCCACGCGACTTTGCTTCCTTGCTCACCATCGGGGTGAATCGCTGTGTGTGGATGGAAGATTCCTGACTTTAGAGGTTGCAGGTTAAGACTATACTTTCAGGGATCATTTCTATAGTTTCTGACTTGGAAGTTTGATTTGAAAGTGTTATGTCTCTCTAACCACGATGACGAGTTAAGATGCTTTCTTCTGAGCGTGAATCAGGTGGCGAGTAACGAGTGAGATCGTCTGCTCTCCGTCGTTGATGAACGTTCCTGCTGTGTTTCACAGTCTGGAAGAAGAAAGCATGTTCAGAGTGGTTTGTTACTGAAGAATGCAAAAAAAAACAGATTAAAAAACATTTAAAACAGCTGACAATGATTTTTTGTTGATATATTTGTGAATTTGTTCAGTGTTTCAACAACTGTTTTAAAAGAGTTTAGATTGATGTCCAATTGAAAGCAAGCCTCACAAGAAAGTTCTAGTAATCTGTGGCGTCCTGCCGAGTTTCATTCTTGGGCCGCTCTCGTTTGATCGATACAAGCTTCCTTTTGACGAAGGACTACGAGACGTCTTATCAAAACTAAATCGATGACACTCAGATCTGCTTGATCCTCTTCTAAAAGAACGGTGATGCCCTTGACTCACTTTCTCATTTCCTTGAGTACATCACACTAACCGGATGGGGCCAAACTTTCTTCAGTTGAGTAAAGATAAATCAGAGATTATTGTATTTGGGAATAGAAAGATAGGCACAGACTAGCTGCCTATCTGGATTCGAGAGCCCTAAAATCTAAAGAACTGGTACATAACCTTGGTGTACTAATGGACTCTGATCTTAGATTTAGCAGGCATGTGGAAGCAGTTAGTAAATCAGCTTGATATCACCTTAAGAACATCAAGATCAGAGATTTGGTGGCTAAATCATCTCACACTTTTATTTCTAGCAGGACGGATTAGTGTACCCGTCTCCTAGCTTGACCGAAAAAGACAATCCAACAGCTTCAGATGGTTCAAAATGCAGCTGGCAGAGTTCTCACTAGGAGTGAAAGAGGGCTACCCCCGTTCTTAAGTCCTTACACTGGCTGCCAATTTGTTACAGGATAGAGTTCAAGGTGGTATTACTGGTGTATAGGGTCTCCTTTCCACGGTCCAAATTTTTTTCCACTGAGCCGAACGGTTCTCAGGGCCGTACTGGGCCGTTCCGCGCTAGTCCGGACTGCTGAGACCGGTTACGGTTTCTTTTTCCGTCTGTTGTGCTGCTACATCAGAACCGGGAAATACTGCAGAAAACAACACAAACGAGTGTCTAACAGCTAAGAGGCTAATAGCTACATACACACCACCCACCACGAAA